TATTAAGTGCATAGTTTTCTCTTTTAAATGTCGGATTTCTAAAAATTGTAATAATAACTTTTACACCCGTTGTGATTTATGAATTTAATTATTCGATTTCTTCATCCATCCTAATTATTAAATAACTTAAACAATTAATTATTAGTATACAATTAAATAATTACAAATCCTGTATTATATCATTTGTCCAAAAGTACTTTTTTTCCAAATTATCCAAAAATTAATATTTTTCTTGTTAAAGATTATTTTGTAAATCTTTTCGAAGATTATTTTGTAAATCTATCAATTTACTTAATTGTAATTACTATATAAAAAAAAGGTAATATTAATTACTATTTATTATGATTAACTTGCCTAAAATTATTAATTATTACTCTTAAAAAATTATTAATGTATATGAATTAGTTTTTTATTTTTATTTTTAATGGTTACTAGGTAACAGCATTGTGCTTTGCACATTGAATATAAATATTATTATACAAATATAAGTACCATAACAATTTTATTTAAGTAAATCTACGGAGAGAACACTAACTTTGGCGCTGATAACACCAATTTGAAGACAAGTGGTAGAGGCGGAACATGACAGTTTCAAAGGCCAAGCTCAGCAAGACAATCTCCTTCCATATTCTTGACGGGTAAATCGAAGATATTAAGCACATATGAAAACAAACGTCATTAGTGGTTTCCCACATAATGGTGAAACACTAAGATTGGTAAAAAAATGAATATAAATGAGAAACATTTGAAAGGGGGAAAATACATAATGAAATTTTTTACCTCATAATTGACATCGCTATTTAGTAATGTAACTACAAAAAATATATGATATACACAATATTCTAATAATGCATTAGAATATTGTGCGTTATTAGAATATTGTGTATAATATTCTAATAGTTGCTTTCAAGTTGTTTTGGTAAGCTTAGCTTGATATTTTAATTAAGTGAAGTTTTAGATCATGTTATGCGTTTTGGTGATTTTGGTTGAAGTTGATGTTTATGTGTTTTTTCATGTTTAAATCTCATAAATGAAAGTTTCGGTCATAGGTTGATTGTTAGTTTTATTAAAATCCTTGTATTGAGTTTTATCTTGATTTTTGATTTTTAATAGATGGGAAGGATTGCTTGTCCAAGTAATTATATGTTTTAAGTTAAGAGTTTTTGTGAGTTTGTATGGTAAAAATCTTTGTTTTGGAAGCAGGTTAAAGATGTTTTTGAAATGGGTTTGGAGTTAGCCAAAAACAGGGCAAAATGAATCTGGAAATCACATTCCAGAGAGGAATGCGACTTCCATGCGACCTAGGTCGCATTCTTCATTGTTCTGTGATTTTTCTTTTTCGTTTCAAGCCGCTTTGGGAATTTTTTGATGTATCATTTATATGCCTTAGAGTGTGTTAAGAGTTATGGTGAAGTTTAATTGCATAGATTGTGATATGTGTTTATATGATTCATATTCTCGTGTTCGGTATCCGAGCTCAATATCGATTAAGAGTTTAACAGATAATCGTGATCCAGGTGAGTTTCTTACGAAGCGTTTATTTAAAATGCACGTGTTTTGAAATGATTGTAGATATGATAAAGTGTATTATTTGTTACGAAAATCTGAGAATGTAGTGAAGTGTATTGTTCATGCGAAAATTACAAATGTGGCGTTTGGGTCGGTTTAACCGACATATACGTACAATGTGGTGCATATATTTTGGTGAAGTACATGAGAAGGATTGGTGTATGTATAGGTGAGGTGTATGTGACGGTGTGGTGTATACAACCGAGAGGTGTATGTAAGGATGGTGTTGAGCCAGTTGCGCCAATGATTAACGAAGATGTTAATCGGTTTTTATAGAGCTTTCATGTAATAATCTTTTCTATTTGAATATTATTATGGTTTAACAGTCTTGGAATTTTGATACTTTTTGTTTTATATGAGATGACAATAACATGGATTTCCTCAATAGACCTATTAGTCTAACCCTCCTTTTGTTTTCAAAAATGTGCATTTCAGGGCAGTCACATCCAGAACGTAAAGGGAAAGGAAAGATGTGATTTGACATAAGATGTTTAAGTGATGTTATATGTTGAATTGGGAGTTATGTCTAAATTTGATTTGTGATGTTAACTTAAGAAACACTTATATACAACTTGTGTAAGCATATGATATGGTAAAGTTCTTCTAGTTATGGTAGTATTTGTTTTTGTGACCAACATGTAATATATCAAGTTGATATTTATGAGTTATGTTTTGAGAGGTTGTTACATGGCCAGCACCACTATGACTTTATATTTACATGTAGGTGCTTGAATTACATTGTTTGTGAACAAATATGAGGTCCATACCCGGTATCCAATATCTAAGAATCATAATCAGATGTGAACATATCGATAGCATACATACCTGAAGTTCTGGCTCCTTAAGCCTTCTCCTTCCTTGCCTTTGACATAAGAATCGGAAGTTCCTTTTCTAATAACCTTTTTAAGAACATTCAAAATAATATAGCATCTGAGGGACTTTTTCCCTCATTTTTCTTTGGCTTGATGGAGCTTCCAGCTCTTGCCTTTCCTTTCTAAGTCACACTCGTCACACCCATTCTTTTGGTTCTTCCTTTTGCCTTGATCATCAAGGACAAGCTTGGATTTCTCCAACTTCGAGGTGATACCTCTTTCAGCAGTTTTTAGCATTTCATGTAGTTCAATGAGGGTTTGCCCAGGCCCTGATCGTTGAGCACAAATATGATTTGGGTAATCAATCGAGGACAAAATCGACACCCAACTCTTGTCCAAGAGGGAATCCTAATCAAGTAGCCGAAATGTACCGATTCATTTTCTAAACATGAGCACTGATTGGTGCACCCTCCTTAATCATGCAAGCATGCAATGATCTCAAAATGTCAAATATTTCATGTCTTGCATGTTGACTAAACATGTTGCTCAAGGAGGTAAACATATTCTATGTGGACATTTTCTCATGATCCCTTAAACGTTCAAGGGTCATAAAGGCCAACATCAAACATGCAACGCTCAGTGAGTTTCGACTATACTTATCATAAGTAGCTGGAACACTGTCATATGCATTTCTTGTAGGAGCATTTAGAGAGGAGTTCTCGAGAACACTTCTATTCATGCCTGAGGACGACCCTCTAGAAGCTGAACCATTGCAAGAAGTTTTGGCCGCTCAATTTCTCCTTATCTAGGATTGAGCGTAGAGTAAACTAGTTTGATGCTTGAGTTGTCGTTTCTATTAGAATCTTGATTGGCATGCATCTACATAAAACAATGTTCATTTAGAATTATTTATCAAAATTTAAATAACCCTTTAAACTAAAAAAATGAGTTATGATCCATATTTCACTAAATCTCGTAATTAGTCAACGCAAATGGTGAGAGATAGTTAATTAAGTACACAACTTTAGATTCCGATAATCACAAATCTTATACCTTCGTAGGATTCTTTACTCATAGTTAAAGTCATGTTTAATCCTACTTGTTTACCTTGGGGTTACTTACAGGACGTGCAATTCATAGGGAATAACTTCCTCAAGCAAGTTTAGCATACTAAAACATTGTACACTGATAGACTAGACTGATTTTTATGTTAAAAGACTTGAAAATGTATTAAAAAAAGTTATCAGAGTTTCTTGGTTTACATGATCGACACAAAGACAGAAAAATGAGTAAAATTGAAAGTTACCGCTAGTTAGTGATTTATTAGAGGTCTTTTCAAATGACCTGATTAGTATTCTGTAGGACAACCGATTGAATTCATAATTTATTTGATAACAGAGGCCACACTTATAATTTGTGCACCATACTGATTTGTTTTGTCTAAAATGAAAGAGATGATGACTTAGTTGAAAGATATGCTGGATAAAAATTTTATCAGATCTGGTACATCGTCATGGGATGCACTGATTTTGAGTATAAAGAAGAAAGTTGAGTCGATAAGAGTGTGATTGATTAACAGGAACTTGAGAAGTTGATTGTAAATAATTCATTCTATACCAGGTGTGGGAATTATGGGTTTTGAGTGATGTCGTTCGGTTTGACTAACGCACCAGGAACAATTACGGTTATGGTGAACCAGGTACAAAATCAGTATTTTGTTATATGTTAGGACTGAAAAATCAGTATTAATTGTATTCGTCTTGAAAGATTAATTTTAGTCTATAATTGTAAAGTCAGCGTGTTTGACTTTCTTAGACTAGTTTGACTTTGACTTTGTTAGTTAGGTTGACCATATAAATATGGTTTAATCTTTGTAATTAGTAGAAGAGAGGAGCTTAATTGTAATATTCAGATTAATAAGAGAGTTTGACTGAGATTATATGAGTTGACTTTTTCTCTCAATGTTCATAGTGTTCTTAATGCAATATCTATGAATCTGCCATGATTGATATGAAGATATTGAAGATTGATCAGTAATTGTGGACACACAATTGGTATCAGAGCTGGAATGCAAGAAATCAAGAAAAGAAATTGATCAGATAAGTGTTTTTTTTAATTTCTGAATTTTTTTTCTTTTTCGTGTTCTTCGTGTTCTTGAGTTTTTCTTTGATTTTGATCCGATTTTCTCATAAAATCTTGTGTTTTGATGTTAAAAACATGATCAATATGTTCGAAATTGAATTGTGAATCTTTGTTATTCACAAAATTTTGTGATTTGATCAAAATAAATCAAGATTTAATCGGTTTTTAGGTTTTTAAAATTTTTTCGTGTTCTTAATTTTTTTTTCGTAAACCAGTGTTTTGATCCATTTTTTTAAAATTTCTTTTAGTTTTTGTGTTTTTGTTAGTTTTAATATGATTTTTAGTTTGAGTTTGTTTTTATTTTTTGTTAAACCGCCTAAGTTTCTAAAGCCCAAACCATTTTAAGGCCCAACAGATCAATTTTTGGTCCATAAGATGTCTTGAGCGGTATTCTAATCCTCACATATTGAGCGGTATTCAACTTCACCGCACATCTCTTGATCGGAGAAGAGGTTAAACCGCACGATCCTTGACCGAAATTCGGATTATACATTGATCGGAGAAGAGGTTAATCAGGTAAGTCTTCTATCTCAGATTGTCCGGTGTTCATGTAAACCGATCAACCCTTGATCGGATTTGTGACCGGATTAAATTTCTTCTTGATCGGTTTAGTACTTAAAGAATTTTTGGTTCATTTTCTGTCCGGTTTACTAAACCGCCAATCCTTCAAGTAGGATTTCTAAATCTCTCAAGGTAAACCTAATCGGTTTAGTTTTATTCAGTAAGCGAAGAAGCTTTATTCAATGTCCGGTTTAACTTTTTGAGGTTGAAGTTCTAAATCTCCTGGATACAGCAACTGTTTAACAGGTTTTGTTTAACATTGTGCAATTGATTGTTTCAATTAAAGATAGTGTACAGGTTCTGATTTTTGTGCTGTGGTGTGTTGGTAACAGCAATCTCATATCAAAGAAAATCACAAGTTCATACTGTCAAGAAACAGAAAATCGTATTTTGCTGTGACTGATTCATATTGTTTTGATTTGGTTTTGCTTTGGTCACAAACATAGTAGCCCGAGTCAAAGAAGGAAACTGTTTAGAGCTCTGATTCGCAAGCATATCTTTACAATCAACTACACAACAGCAACGAGAACAGCAACAGACCTCTGTTTATGATTTTTGACAGCAAGTTTACTTGCAGACTTGTAGGCTTAAAGCATTGCAGCAGTTGTGTGCAGGTGACTGTGTACACACACAGGTTCTGTGTGGTTGTTTTTCAAATTTGAAGCAGTAGCAAGAATGTAAAAACAGCAGCCCAGGTCTGACACAGCAGCTTACGAATTTATGTACAACATGTTCTGAGTTTTGTAAAGCTAACAGAGTGCAGTTTTGAAGCTATTGTTGTGTGATTATGAAGTTTTGGATCACCTCGACAGTTTTTATTTTTTTTTTAACATTCTGTTTTGTTTTGTAAGTTGTTAGTGTGACTGTTTGATGTTGTATACAGGTTGTTGTTTGTTTAAGCAAAATGCTAGTTTTGAGCAGATTTGTGCTTTAAAGCAACAAGATTTGCAGACAACAGCAGTTGTTCATAGGTTGGAACCTGTTAAAAGCTGTTTGTGTGGAGAAACAGGTTGTTGAAACAGCGCAGAAACAGCAAATTTAATTTGTTCTAGCACTGAATGTTACAGCATTAATTAGATTTGATATGTTCTAGCTGTTTGTTCTTGTTGTTTGTTTAAGGAATTTTTGAGTACTGAAACAGCAACAGGTACAATCTGTGTGCAAATTGAAACTGAGTTTGTGAAGTTTTATGCAAGCAGCAGCACCAGGTTTGTGAGGTTTTATGCACACACAGCAGGTCTTGTTTGGGTAAATTGTGACAGTTAAAAGCTGTTTTCACAGTTATACAGGTTCTGTACAGGTTTTGCTTCATAAACAGATTTGTGACAGCATCATTCATAGGTTTAGTTTACAACAGAACAGCAACAGCAAAACTTTGTTTGGAGGTGATTTCAACAGCAACAACAAGAAAACAGCAGCTTAATCTTGTTTGGAGGTGACAAATTCGTTGTTCCTGGTTTGGTAATAATTTCTGTTTTGTCAGCAAATATTGTGAAAGTTGTGCTGTGTTTTGGTTTGAAACAGCAACAGTGTGCAGTGAGGGAAGTTTGCTTGATAACTAGGACTAAAACAGCTCAAACAGGAGACTAATTCCATTTTGACAGTTTGAGCAGGTTTAACAGCAACTTCAATGAAGTAGTAGTAGCAAACGGAACAGCAGGAGCAAAGCTTGTTATTTGAAGCAAGAAGAAAAAGACAGCAGCAGCAAATTCACAATTGGTCATAATTGTTGAGTATTTTCATTGCTGTCCACGAGGAGGAACTCACATCTCACAGGTTTATGCAGCAACAGATTTTGTTGTGCTGTGTTTAAGTAGCAATTTCAAACAGAACAACACAACAAAGATAAAACAGCAGGTTATGTCTTGCTTTTGGAATTGTATGTAGCAGCTACATAGTGTGCAACAACAACAACATTTAAAACAGGTGACAGCAGTAAGTGAGGCTGTTACAGATTGTGTGCTGTGATCAGACAGCAACAAGAAATAGTGTGTGATTTTCACAGTGTGCATATTAACAGTGTGCATATTAATAGTTAGCAGGTTTCTGTTTAAAAGGTTTTAAAAACAGCAGGTTCACAACTACAGGTTTTATATATCAATTGTTCATTGAACTGATTCAGTTGCATGTTTGTAGTCTAAATCTGCTGTCTATGCATATTTTGTAATTACTTAGTACAGATTTGACTGTCAATTTTGGTGCAGGAATCTGTTAAAATCTGTTGGTGTGAAGGCTGCAGTCGACAGCTGAAAAGAAAGTTTTTCAAGCATAGTTAGGATTGCTTTTAGACAGTTTAACAGATTTGAAGGACTGTTGATTTGGTTTTGCTTTCGGGGACTAAGTTCACCTTTACAGAAGCACACAGCATTCAAGTGGATTTTTGAATACACTTCAGAGAGCAAATAGATCATTTTTTTGTGTAATATATGTATTGTGTTTGGGCTTGGTTCAATTTGTTTTGGACTTAGACATTATTTTCTTCGGTTTAATTTTGTTGTGTTTTTGTTTTTGTTTTTCGATTGTGTTTAGATTTTCTTTTGGATCATTGTATATTTGTTTGTGTGTGAGTTTTTCAGTGTTTGTGTTTTTCTGTTCTTTTTGAGCTTAACTGTTCGTATTTTTTTATCTGATTTCACTGCATAGATCCTTAACTGATCAATTTTTTTTAAAATGGCAGATATTCTAAAAAAGGAGAATCAAGAGTTGCGAGAGAAGATTGTTCAGTTAGAAAAGAATTATGTGGTTCTTAGAGATCATTCCATAAATATACATAGTAAAAATTGTCTTAATGAGGATCATATCAAATCCTTAAAGAAGGAGAGTGAACGAATTACACGGGAATTTGAATATAAGATTGAACAAATTGAAAAACTTCGGAGTTTGGATCGGAAAAACTATAATGCTGATTTAAATCGGTTGACTCAATCTAATACAGATTTGTCAAATACACTTAAAACAGTTCGACTTGCAATAATTGCTGAGAGAAACTCTTCAAGGAACAATTCAGATTTAAAGGTTTTAACTGAGAAGTTCCACAAGACTGAGAATGAGCTGAATGAGTTAAGGAAATTATTTGAATTAGAGAAGGAAAAGGTTTTAAAGACTGAAAAGTTTTTAAAAGATGAAAGGAATGAGATGGAAATAGAAAAGAATAGGATAATCGAAGTTGAAAGAAAGTTTGGAGCTGAACGAGAATCTTACGAGAAGAAGATTAACTCTCTCGARYTRAACGCCAAGATGCTTCTAAAGCAAATCTCGGATTTTGAGCAGCTTATTGTTTTGGAAAGAGAGAAACATACTAAAGAAAAGACAGACATCTCCAAAGACTGTCAGAGCCAGCTCCAGAAACTGTCTATAAGCATCGATCTAAAGCAAAAGGCTTTGGACGAAGAGAAAAAGCAATTTGCTACAGAKAAAMGAAATACTTCAAAGAAGTATACAGCAATTGCAAAAGAGCTTACTGAGAAGAGGAAATGGCTTGACATCGCTTTGGAGAATGACAAAAGCAGCTCAGATGAAGAGAAGATAGAGTTGCTAAGTCAGAACAAACAGTTTGAAATACTTCAGAAGGAGTTAGAAGGTAAACTCCTGGATACTTCAAAGAAATTGTCTGATCTAAAGACAGACCTTGAAAATGAAATGAACATGAGAACTGAACTGAAAATTAAATATGATTTAGTTACTATAGAACGAGACCAGCTTTTACAAAAAGTTAAAGACTTTTCTTGTGCTGAAAGCTCAACTGGTTCTCCTTCTCARTGTAAAACCAGCTTTTATAATTGTTCATATTCGAACAGTTATTCAAGCAGTCCTAAATCTAAAGTTTCAAAGAACTATTCTCGTTCTAATCAGTACTATCAAGGGTATGTCATTGGATCACCCAATTATTCTTCAAAGATGAAAAGCATATGGGTTAGTAAGTCTGATTCTGTTGTATCTCATACACCTATTGGTACTAACAATCTTCCTTGCATTGTGAAGTCAACTAATGATTTGATTAATCTTAGCAAGAGGAGGATTTTGTGCTCAACATGCAGAACCAACAAGTTTGTTAATAATAAACGGTTCAACAGGTGGCATGGATATAATAGTTATCATGACAAATGGAAAGGTAAGAACAGGTATGATCCCAATTACTTATATGATTCATATTCTAATCCTGGTCATCCTGTTCATAGTGATGAAAAGAATACATCTTATAGAAATAAATGGTTTGGTAGTTACAAYATACCCCAACCAAATTCTAACATATTAGGACCCAAGTCTTTTTGGGTACCAAAATCTACTTGATTTGGTTTTGCAGGTGTGTCCATTTCATGCTGATCAGAATATCATTTTGTGTGATACACCAATGCAGGGGGAGTTGTACCCTATTTCAAACTATGGCTTCTGAACACTTCAGTTCAGAACCCGTGCTTAAAATGTTTTCTTTCTATTTTTTTTGAGCTTAAAAGATTTATTACTTAAATCTACTTTCTAGGGGGAGTTTCCTTAGAAAGTTCAATATCTGGTTTTAGAAAATAAATTTTTTTTTCGGGAAAACGAGTACATTTTCTGAACAGGTATTTCCTGAGATTTTACTTGCGTAACTTCTCATCGTACATAATTCCAATACCTGTTTCAGCTTTTCTTCAAA